GTCTGAGGCTTAGCACGGCGTCCCCCTTCAGGGTCTACTTTCGACCCCGCAACTCGGCGTTCCTAGCCTCGGAGTGATCATTTGGAATTCGGCGCCTTCGGCTCACTTTTGGGGGCTCTGAAACTTCCTCGACACGTACCCGAAGCTTCCAGAATCGTTTCTTACCTGGTCCCGCCGCCGGTGACCGAAAAACGCAGAGAAACAAACTCAGACGCGCACTGTTTACTTCCGGGTTCTGCCCTCTCCCGGCGCCCCCCGCGGCAGCTTCCGGCCGGGGCGCGCCTGCGCACTGGGACGCGGGCCGCTGACGTCACCGCGGCCTCAGTCTCGCGAGACTTTGGCTTGTTCCTCGAGAGCGGGTGTGTTTTGATGCTGCTCCTTTCGGCTCACGACTTCTCAACAGTCGTTTTGTTTTAGAATCGCAGGAATTTGGGAGGCAAAGGGAAAAAAAAGAAGTTTTTAAAGTAAACAGGGCTGGGGAGATAGTACAGCGGGGAGGGCGTTTGCCTCGCGCACGCACGACCCGGGTTCGATCCCCGGCCCAACTAGGAGTGAGTGGTGCAGGGTGTAAAGTCAGGAGTCAGCCGCGAGCATCGCAAAAAACAAGACAGTAACCCTCTCCCTCCCCCCCCCCAATCCTCAGAAAACTCTTGCTTATCAAAAATCCGCAGATACATTGATTTTTTTTTTTTTTTTGCTTTTTGGGTCACACCTGGCGATGCTCAGGGGTATTATTATAAAGATAATATCTTTATCTGTATTTATTCAACATATTTAAATTTTCTATAGAAATAGGAAAAAATTATCAATTTTTTCAAGCACAATTTCTTCGCGGGGGCGTGTCGCTTCAGCCCTAGGTGCATTGATTTTTGCTTTGTGTGTATATATATGGGCTGGAGCGATAGCACAGCGCAGAGGACATTTGTCTTGCATGCGGCGGACCTGGATTCGATTCCTTCACCCCTCTTGGAGAGCCCAGCAATCTACAGAAAGTATTCTGCCCGCAGGGCAGAGCCTGGCAAGCTCCCCATGGCTTACTGGATATGCCAAAAACAGTAACAAGGCTCACAATGGAGATGTTACTGGTACCCGCTCCATCAAATCGATGAACAACTGGGGGACAGTGCTACAGTGTGTGTGTGTGTATATATATGTATATATATATATATTATATTTGGGGGCCACACCCGGTGGAACTGGGATGGAGGGTGAATTTTGTCCACCCCATCACCTGGGGGAGCGTGTGGGCCAGGGATTGAACCCAGGGCTCCTGCACTTGTCCCAGCCCTTTGAACCATCATCTTCCGGACCCCATGACCCACATTCTTAACCTGCAGGTGCATTGGGAAAGGAGCATACATTCCCTTTGCTACTGGTTCACAAAATAGTTTACACCAACAGAGAACGAACAGCAGCCCAAGTGTCACTGCAGCACAATAAAATGAGGAACCTCATACTTTCAGCGCAGTACTTAGTGTATTTTTGACGTTCAGTACATATTTGTACTGAAAATCAAAAAAATTGCAAGAAGATAAAACAGGTGGAGTGCCTCGCCCAGTAGACCATACTGGAAGACTGAGTTGGAGGGTCAGTGAGAATTGACTTTTTTTCCCCTTACTTGTCCCACAAAGTTTGTGGTGGCTTTATAAGCAAGATGTCACTGTGAACAAAACAGTGCCCCATGTCCTTGATCCGTGGTGCTGGAGCTGACCCCACGTGCCTTGTCTGAGCACAGAAGGCTAAACAAAACGTAGAGGAATGAATGAATCATTCCATGCATTTTATCCTGGACTGAAAAGGAAGAAGAGCCAATCAAGGGCCATAGCTCAAGGACAGGGTCATGCCAGGTGTATTGTACAATATTTTGTGAACCATAAGCAAAGGGTCTGCTCCTTTTCCTACGTACCTGCAAGTTAAAAATGTGCCTTGTGGGGATCTGGGAGAGAGTTCAAAGGGCTGGGATGAGTGCAGGAGGCCTGGGTTCAATGGTCCCCCAGGTGATGAGGAGGGAGCAACCGCCCCTTCATCCCAGTTCCATTGGGTGTGTCCCCCAAGAAGAAAACTCAGATACATACTAAGCAAAAATCAATGTATCTGATGATCTTTGATAAGCAGGGCTTTCTGGGGGTGTTTTTGGTGGTGGTTGTTTTGGACTGCAATGTTGAGGGATTAACTCTGGTTCTGCACTCAAGAATCACTCCTGGTAGTGCTTTGGGGACTATATGGGATGCTGGGGATTGAACTGGGGTTCACTTCATGCAAGAAAAGTCCCTCTGTACTATCTCTCCGGCCCCATGGTGAGCAGGGTTTTAAACAGGCCAGCCTTAGTCTTTTAAATTCCTTAACCTGAATGTATTCAACATATTTACATTTGCTATAGAAAGAGGAAAAGGTTATCAATTTTTTCAAGCATAATTTCTTTTGGGGGGGCGTGTGGTGGCTTTTGGGCCCAGCGCATGGTGCTTGGGGGCTGTTCCCAGTTCTGTGCTGGTTGTTGCTCCTTGCAGTGCTCAGGTGATGTGGTGCTGGGTATTGGACACGGTTGGTGCCATACAAGGCAGGTACATGAACACCTGAGCTATCCAACCCTCAAATGTAATTTCTCCCTCAAAAAAATTGAGTTTTTTTTTTTATAAAAAAGATTATTCCTCTGATCTCCTGTTCATTCTTCTGCTTACCACCTTGCTGGCTGCTTTCAGTGAATTTGCTATTGAGATATTAGAAGTTTAAAAGAATTCTCTATTAAATGATATCATTTAAAGGTGTCATGAATGAAAGTAATCTTTTTGTTGGTGGTGGTTGTGTAGAGAAATGGGAAGGTAGTCCCCAGAGGGGTTCGAGGACCATCCCCTGGGAGTTCAGGACTCCCAAAAGTGCCAGGAGTTCTTGCCTGACCTGACCAATGAAAGTCCTGACTTCTACACAAGCTTTCTAGGCCCCGTTGACTCGTCTCACAGAACAGGTGTCGAGAGAAGACAAATCAGGGAGAGAAGGGATTTTTCCTTAGGAAATGTGAGGAGGAAGAGAGGAGAGTGTTGTTAGGGAATCACACACTCTAAGTTGGGATGCAGCAGTGGGGTGCGCCCTGTAGGGGGAAGGGGGAAGGAATGGCAGGCAGAGTAGTGGTTACTGGCTTGGAGGGGGGGTGGGAGCATGTTCTCAGAAAGGAAGGGGAAATAGTTACACATGCAGAGCACACAGCGGCATGGCGGCTCTGGGGCTAGCTGGAGAGTGCACCCTGTGTTTCTCCCAACATGCTCTAACCAGGATTTTCCCAAGTTGCCCCACCCCGGCATCTGTTGCTAGGTTGCTGTCAAGGAGGACCCTGGCTGATCCTAGGTGTGGGGGTTCCTCTATGTATTGGAGCTGGTTCTGAATATGACCGTAACCTGAAACTCATTGCCTCGGGGCCCTTACCTCCTTGCCTGCCCAACTAATATGGCCCGATTTCCCCATATGTGGTTTAAAAAAAACTTCTAGTGATCAATTTTTTTTTCTTTTTTGGGTCACACCCGGCGATGCTCAGGGGTTGCTCCCAGCTCTGCACTCAGGAATGAGTTCTGGCCGTGCTTGAGGGACCATATGGGATGCTGGGAATCAAACCTGGTTTGGCCACGTGCAAGGCTAACGCCTTACCTGCTGTGCTATCGCTCCAGCCCCTCAATTTTTTTTTTTTTTTAGAGAGAGGTGAGGGTGTCACAGATGACAGTGTTTAGAGGCTACTTGGGCTCTGTGTTCAGGATATATGCTGGGGACCAGAACTTGGGCCTGTTGTGTGCACAGCATGTACTCACTCAGTGTGCTGCTACTTGTCTGTTTAACTATCTCTCCAACCCCTATTTTTTTTTTTCCTGGTCACACCTGGCAGTGCTCAGGACTTATTCCTGGCTCTGGACTCAGGAATCTTTCCTGGCAGTTCTCGGGTGCCAGGGATTGAACCCAGGTCAGCCGTGTGGCAGGCAAGTGCCTTCCTTGCTGTGCTGTATCTCTAAATATAGATATATGTTTTCCATCACCGATTGAAATATCGCTATTATATGTTTTTAAAGAGAAGCAACATAGTTTCATTGAAACTTTAGAAAGATGTGTGTGAGGAGAGTAAGTGGGGAAATGTATTCAAGAGAGAACACGTGCAGCAGAGAAACAGACGAGCGTGTTCAAGGGAGAACGGGCTTGAAGCCTAGTCTTGTCCAACTTTTAAATTTGTTCTGCTCTATCTTCTCTTTAATAGATGGATAATTGATTATAACGATGGGGAAGGGGAAGCCAAAATCTGTCTTGATATGATAATCGCATGAATTTGCTGTATCGTTTGGTGCTGGAAACCGTTTCATCACCCCACTTTTAAATGAGGATCCAGGTGTCAGCACTTAAACCCTTTTTTTTCCCCCTTTTTTTCTTCCCAAGAAGCCAGCTTCCCCGGAAAACCTTCGGGGGGCGGAGCCTAGGCAGTCTGGGTTCTCCCCATTGGTTCTCGCGGACGCCTCCGCCCCGCCCCTCCCTGCGGAGGAGCCAATGGGGCCGCGTGCGTCGGTTTCAAAGCTGAGCCCGACTGCGACGCGGCGAGCGGCCTCGGGGTTCGGCTGTTGGTCGCGAGGCTGGGCCAGCGGGTTGCGGCTCGGTGGGGTCGCGGCCGAACCGGGTCGAGCTCGTGTAAGGAGGCTGGCATTTCGGGGGACGGGGCGGTTTTCCTTCCCACCGTCCGGGCGGGGTTGAGCCGCGGGCGCGGACCGTGCCTGGGGCGGGGGGTCGGGGGGCCCGGGCGGTTCGGTTCCGAGCAGTGACTCTTAACGATACGCCGGGTGCCGGCCCCGAACCGTCGGTTCCGGAAGCGGGCTCCCAGAGCGACAAGCCGGAACGTCATTTTAGGAGATGCAACACCCTCTTGCATCTCCTAAAATGCAAGACCCGTCGCATTTTCGCCCAGGCCCCGGAGCAGGCGTGGCCGGGTCGGCAAGGTTCGGTCCGAGCGGTGGGCCTGGGCTTCTGGAGAACTCCAACATCTTTCCCCTCCCTCCAGCAGCCCCGGGATGGCGGCGTGGGGCTTGTTGAATACGGAGAATGAAGACCCAGTCGGCAGTCGGGCCAAGGATGTGCTGGCGCAGGAATTTGGGCCTGGTAAGTCCCGGGCAGCACTGGGACCCCCTCCTGAGACTCCATCCTGCACTGGGACCCCCTCCTGAGACCCCATCCTGCACTGGGACCCCCTCCTGAGACTCCATCCTGCACTGGGACCCCCTCCTGAGACCCCATCCGTGGCTGAGGCAGTTTATTTCATTATTGTTATTTTTTAAAACCAGTCACCGTGAGTTACAGTTACAGATTTACAAACTTTAGTGATTAAGTTTCAATCACACAGTGATCGAGTACCCATCCCTCCATCCTTAACCCGTTCTCTACCACCAATGTTCCCCGTATCCCTCCCTCCATCCCCACCCCATCCCCTGCCTCTGGGGCAGGCACATTCCCTTTTGCGCGCGCTCTCTCTCTCTCTCTCTCTCTCTCTCTCTCTCTCTCTCTCTCTCTCTCTCTCTCTCCCCCTCCCTCCCTCCCCCCCTCTCCCTCTCTCCCTCTCTCCCTCCCTTTTCCCCCTTTCCCCCTCTCTCTTTCCCTCCCTCCCTCCTTTTGTAATAAGTGGCCATCATGTTTGGTCCCTAATCTAGTTTCAGCACACATCTCCCATCCCAAGCATCGTCACTTAGTGGTCCCATCTCTGTCCCAGCTGGCCGAGGCATTTTAGAATCGAGATGCTCTTTAGGACCTCCTTTCTCGAGTTAAGTAGCTTAATGAGGTTATTTAAGGGCCCCCGATGGAAGTACTGCAAATTCTGTGAAGAGAAGGGACCTACCTAGTGGTTGGTGGGATGGAATTCTGGGTGTGATGTAGCAGCTTTGTACTCTTGGAAAGTACTTTTTGTTTGTTTGTTTGGTTTTGGGGCCACACCCAGAGGCTAACTCCTGACTGTGCTTAGGGATCACTCCTGATTGTGCTCCAGGGACCCTATGAGGTGGCCGGGATTGAACTCAGGTGGGCGGTCTGCAAGGCAAGCGCCCTCCTCGCTGGACTATTCTCCAGCCCCGGGAAATTATTCTTAATGGCACTAAGGAGTCATGATGTCAAATCTACAGAAGTGAAGTACAGTTAGACTTGATTTATATACAGAGATTGTGGAAATGAACATGATGCTGAAACCTTTTAGCAGCAGTAGAAAACAGCTCCAGTTTGGAGTCCACATGCTGGGGAAAGGTTTGATAGTCTTCTCTGCCCCCTGCAGGTACAAGGAAGGCCTTCAGGTCTGTTAACAGACACACAGAGCATTCTGAGAACATCAGTGAACCTCTGAAATTCCAGCGGACCGCCTCCACTCCTCAAAAGGTAGACGTGGGCTTCGGAGGCAGTTGAGTCAGGGACCCTGGAGTCCTCTCACACCACAGGCGTCCTCCCTGCTGTGGGTAGAAGCAACTAGAACATCAGCTGGCAGAAAGGACTGCCTCTGTCTCTAGTACCTCCGGATCCGGAATCTCAGGAATAACTGAGAAAATTTTCACCTCATTTCCTCTTAACTGGAGGACGCAGATTGCCTGGTAGTTTTTTGATACAGATGCGCGTAGCGCTGAGATGGAGGGTACTGTGCAGAGGTGATGAGGAAGTAGTTCTGGGGCTGCCACATTCCCCACTTGGCCAGGCTAACTTCGCATTTAGGAAATTGCTTAAACCATGTGGGCAGAGAAGTTACAGCCCCGTGGGTGCGTCCAGGGCTGAGAGCATTTGGCTGTGAAAGAGGATTTCAGTACTTGGATAAACACTTTATTTGAATCATTGAAAAGATTTATCTGAGGCCAGAGTGATAATACAGCAGGTAGAGCGTTTGCCTTGCACGTGGCCCACCCGGGTGCCATCCCCGACACCCCACATGGTCCTCTGAGCACTGCCAGGAGTAATCCCTATGCGTGGTCAGAAGTAAGCCCACTGGGTGGGCCCAAAAAGGCAACGACAACAAAAATTTCTCAGTTATAGTAGGAAAGAAACGAGTGTTTGACATTCACCCCATGACATGAGCAGTGTGGCTGAGGACTACCGATGTCTTTTTCAGAAGCTGAGTAGCCCGGCAAGCTACCGAGAGTATCACGCCCACACAGCAAAGCCTGGCAAGCTACCCATGATGTATTCGATATGCCAAACACAGTAACAACAAGTCTCACAACGGAGTTGTTACTGGGCCCGCTCGAGCAAATCGATGAACAACAGGAGGACAGTGCTACAGCGCAGTGCTTTTTGGGTCACACCCGGCATTGCGCAGGGGTTCCTCCTGGCTCATGCACTCAGGAATTACTCCCGGCGGTGCTCGGGGGACCCTATGGGATGCTGGGAATCGAACTCAGGTTGGCTGCGTGCAAGGCAAATGCCCTACGTGCTTTGCTATCACTCCAGCTCCCATAAACAGTCGTAAGTCTTGTAAGGATATAGCAGCGATGAGGAGAGTATGACACGGAATTGAAGTGTGGGAAGCCCTGAGTAGGGGTCTCCTCTGTCGCAGGCGGTGGGGTCTGATTCAGACAGGAATACACGGCTGAACATGCCTCGGTGCCAGCTAGGGCGTTAGCCAGGACGGGCTTCTGAAGTAACAGGACTGGGGCCGGAGCGATGGTACAGTGGGAGGGCGTTTGCCTTGTACTCAGCTGACCAGGGTTCAATCCCCAGCACCCCATAGGGTCCCCTGCGCACCGTCAGGAGTGATTGCTGAGTGCAGAGCCAGGAGTAACCCCTGAACATCGCCAGGTGTGACCTAAAACTAGCAAAATTAAATAAAGTAACAGGTCTGCCTTTTTTCTCTCTGTTACTTGCTGTGTATGAATTGAGGTTACGGGAGCCTGTTTTTCCTATTAGCCAGATAAATAGTTGATGTAATTGTGATGGGAAAATTTCACTTCCAATAGTCAAAAATGGCTTTTAGGATTAACAACTATTTTGGGTGACTGATGCCTATTTTTCTCTTAATTTGAGTGTTGAATTAATTCGTTTTGAGTTAATGCTGTTTTACATTGTGATATCTTACATTGGCAGGTGCTGCTATTTAAATTAGACTTGAATTAGACTTTTGAGCCATGTACTAGATTTATTTCTGAATTTAAATGTAATCATGAGAACGAAGGTTTGTTCTCATGAAATGGAAATGAAATCACTATGAAATCGGCAAATCTTAAATTATGCACTTACCATAATTAAGTTTCATGAATTCTAGAGCTGAGTTTTTTACCCTATGGTCAGCGAACCCCATATGGGGGTCTTGTGATTGAATGTAAGGGTCATGACAAATTCTGTTTTGAAATAAATTGATTATTTGTTGTTATTTGAGGCCAAACCTGGCTCTGCTTTGGACTTAACTCCTGGCTCTGCACTCAGGGATGACCCTGGTGAGGCTTGGGGGAACCATATGTGGTGCTGGGATTGAACCCTGGTCAGCCACATGCAAGGCAAGCACCTTACTTGTTCTACTACCTCTCTGGCCCAGAAGAAATTATTTATCATTAGTACTTGTTTTTTATATACTTACATACCTGTGTTCCAAGAGTCATGAAAAAATTTCCTGGGGGGGGGGGGAAGAGGGTCAAGAGCAGAAAGTGATTGAATATAATCAATTATTGTGAACAGCTTTATGAGAAATAAAATTAAAAAACAAAGCCCATGGGGGGCTGGAGCGATAGCACAGAGGGTAGGGCGTTTGCCTTGCACGCGGCTGACCCGGGTTCGATCCCCAGCATCCCATATGGTCCCCCGAGCACCTCCAGGAGTAATTCCTGAGTGCAGAGTCAGGAGTAACCCCTGTGCATTGCCAGGTGTGACCCAAAAATAAAAACAGACAAAAAAATCCGAAACCCAAAACAAAAAGAGCAGAAAACTGTTGAAGAAGCCTCATTCCTGAGAAGCACAAAAGTCGTTGCAAGTATCAGCTGACAAGACTTTACCCTCACTAATCCATGCTTTTCTGGTGTTGTTTCAGGCATCTGGGGAGACTGCTACCGCCAAAATCTCTGTTCCTGCCTGGGATGACGTCTATCCAGAAATAGAGAACTTTTTCCCCTACAATCCCCTAGGTCAGTGTTCCCCAGCCTGCTCCTCCTCGCTTACACGGTTTTCACCTGCGACCCCTCATGTATGATCCAGGCCTCCCGGGGGGCCGTGTGGCCCTCGGTTATGGAAGTCTGCAGTAGATCGTATCCTGAGGTTTTGCAAAAAATGCTTTAGCTTAGAGTTTCTCTTAGAATTCACTTCAGCTTGTAACCTTGATAGGGACATTTACGTAGCATGTGACCCCAAACTATTATGAGACTGAATCTGGCTGCTTTGCACAGACACCCCTGCCCGTGGACTTATTTGTGGGGGTTGAATTATGTGTTGGTAGCTGTTAGTTTGGGCCATGAAGGGAACGGGATCAAGAAACGGAGCCCATGGTTCCTTTTGTCTCCCTTGGGAGCTGGGGCGCATTTCCTAACCCCGAGCAGGTCCTCAGGCTTTTTAATAAGCCTTCAGAAAGCGGGTTCATGCTGAGTTGAACGCTGCCTAATAGAGTACCGGCTTTTCTCTGTTCGCTTAAACCTACTTTCCATTGAAGAGAGGCTACTGTGTGTCATGCACTATTAGACTCTGGAAGAAGTTCACAAGGCAGACCCGGTCCTGAGGGAACCCACCCTGTGGAGGGAAAAGCAAACGCTGAACAAATCTATCCCAGGGCTGGGGGCAGGAAACTCTCACCTGGAAGGACCAGGCAGGCTTCTCTCTGGCAGAGACCTCAAGCCGAGACTGAAGGACGGCGAGGAGACGGGTGGAGAAGAGGAGGGGAGAAAGGCATGCTAGAAAAGTGAGGTAACGGGGCCTTCCATTTCTGGGTTTTAATCAGAGGACAATCATGCTGAGGTACAACAATTCTGCAGTTATTCTCAAAATTTTATCATTGTGAGGTTGAGCCTGTGTGAAGAGCGCATGTGAAGGGTTGCTGAGCCTCAAAGGATATTTGATGACGTATTTTTATGAAATGTGGAACTGCCGTCCTAATGTTTATCATTTGGCCATGAAAGAAAATGAGGAAGACTTGTGCATTTTGATTGGATGACTGTATTTTGCTCTTTTGAAGAAAGAACCTAATACTAAAGTTACATTCCATAGTTCCTAGCCAGCTTCAGTGGGTGAGAAGCCTACTTCCTATTCTCTCAACTGAAGATATTTTCAAACTTCTATCTTTATCAGAAAGGCAGTGGGTGTCGAGTAAAAACTGTGTGTGTGTGTGTAGGAATGCCTGAGTGTTCTTGATTATTGGCTATTTATACTTTTTTTTGCTTTTTGGGTCACACCTGGAGATGCACAGGGGTTACTCCTGGTTCTGTGCTCAGGAATCACCCCTGGCAGTGCTCAGGGGACCATATGGGATGCTGGGAATCGAACCCAGGTCGGCCGTATTCAAGGCAAACACCCTACCCGCTGTGCTATTGCTCCAGCCCCTATTTATACTTTTTAAAGCATCCTATTGTTGCCGTCTTTTTGTTTTGCTTTTGGGCCAGTTATCCTTCGGAGCTACTCCCAGTTTGAGCTCCGGGGCAGCTGGGGGCGGTGTTCTGGACTGTGGTACTGGGGTTTAAGCTTTCATGTACTGTTCAATTCCCTTTGGCTTCTGGCTCTTGTTTACTAGTCTGGGGAAAGAGTAAATGCTTAAAGAGAACTTTCATATTTCAGAACAAATGCACGAGAACTGTCCTTTTCTGATCTAAGAAAACAGTCTTATTGAAATGAGGAAAGATTCAATGTTTGAATCAAGCTTAGATTATTGGAAAGAAAAATCCGTTATTCTAAATCAATACTTAGACATGATGAAGGAAATAGTCTTAATTTTTAAAAATCTTATCTTTATACTTTTAAGATTAGTGAACGTCTTCCACAAAAAGCTTTTGTGGGTTTTGTTTATTTTTTTGTGTTAGAAATTAGAAGTTTTAATTTTTTTTTAAACAATGAACTCATTACATTAATCACGATCACGACCATCCTGTTGTTCATCGATTGCCTTGAGCAGGCCCCAGTAATGTCTCCTTCGTCCTAGCCCTGAGATTTTTTTTAAAAAGTGCCATATTCAAGGCTCTTTGAGGGTTTCCATTGAATACCAGAGAGTGTTCACTTGAAGTATGTGGTATCGGGGACCGAACGCGGGAACAGCCACTTGCAAGGCAAGCGCCTACCCACCATTCTATCACTCCGGGCTGGAGCGATAGCACAGTGGTAGGGCGTTTGCCTTGCATGCAGCCAACATGGCCGACCCGAGTTCGATTCCTCCGCCCCTCTCGGAGAGCCTGGCAAGCTACCGAGAGTATCTCGCCCGCACGGCAGAGCCTGGCAAGCTCCCCGTGACGTATTTGATATGCCAGACACAGTAACAACAAAGTCTCCAATGGAGATGTTACTGGGCCTGCTCGAGCAAATCGATGAACAATGGGAGGGTGTTTACCTTTACGTGTTAGGAGAATGAGACCCATCATTGCTACTGGTACTTGGCATATTGGGTACGCCACGGGGAGTTTGCCAGACTCTGCTGTGTGGGCAGGTTACATTTGGAAGCCTGCCAGTTTGTCCAAAGTAGGAATGAGATGATAAGATGTCACAATAAGATGTTGCGCGGCCGCGGTTCTGGGAGCTGGGTTTTATAGTCTCTGAGTCTTGGCCGTTGATGGGATTACACGGCGCCAGGGGGCCAGTTGGTGGGTGTGACCCCCGCCTACTGGGATTAATAACTTTTTTTTTTTTTGCTTTCTGGGTCACAACCGGCGATGCACAAGGATTACTCCTGGCTCTGCACTCAGGAGTCACTCCTGGTGTGCTCAGGGGACCATATGGGATGCTGGGAATCGAACTCGGGTCAGCTGCATGCAAGGCAAACGCCCTACCCACTGTGCTATCACTCCAGCCCCTTAATAACGTTTTCTAACATGAATTTTTTCAGTTTTCTTTTTTGTTATTGAGAAGACTGACATAGTTTTACAATTTGAAATTTGTTTAACTTAGTTTAAGAAAAGACAGCTGGATTGTTGTCTGATTTTGCATTCATCAGCTGCATCTGAGGAAAGTTTGGCCTCTGCTAGATAGGTAGTTAGATAGGTAGTTAAGCCTTTGCAGGTGAGTGGGCAGCTTGCTTTGGTACTACAGTAAAACTCAACCATGGCTGTTTCTGAATGTCAAGCTGCATGTAGAATTAAAAGCCATATGGATTAGCATTTTATACTCTGACCTGTTTTGAACTTTGAATATATTTTTTTGTCTTTGCATTTATCACATATTAGTTTCGAAATCATAGTTGATAGGGAAAATGCAAATCATTCAAATGTTGTGATGTTTCATTGTGGGCTGTCAGGAGCACATGAATTACCCTCACCACTGATCTCAGCAGAAAAGTTGTGTTAGAAAGGTTTTACACTGTTGATTGCAAATTTAAAAAATTTTTTTTTTCTTCTTGAGACTGTGAACTTTATCGTTGACAGCAAATAGCGTGTTCCTGCAAATGATAGACTTCTTTCATTCCTTGGAGGACGTGTGTGACAGGAACCTGAGTAGTTTTCTGAATAGTCATTTGCTCCTTCCGTTCTCGCGGTGGAAGCAGGGTCCCCGGGGAGGGGTCTCGTGAGAGGCAAAGTAAATAGTCACACAGATGCTCTTTCCTTGAGGTGGTCCTGGCACTTGGGTGTGTGGCAAAAGTGCTCCGACACCTGCTTGCGTCTCATCTCTTAGGTTCCTCTAGAGGTGTCAGGGGTCGCGTGCTCATCAGGCAGTGTCTCGTCTCTCCTGCTCCCGGGAGACACTGCAGGAAACTGTTATTTTCTTACTGCAGGTGAAAGTGACGGCTGGGCGGCTTCCTGCCTCTGCCTCGATCCCGTGGGGAGAATGCAAATGCATTACCAGTATCAGGGACCCCGTGCCAGGGTCTCTGGTCCCCGGGGCTCCCCGGCCACACTCAGAAGTGTTGCCCTGACAGAAGCCACTTGCTCTTTGTTGCAGACTGTGAGAGTTACGAGCTGCCTGAGGAGCACCGGATTGCACACTTGCCTTTGAGTGGGATGCCGCTCATGTTCTTGGAGGAGAAGGAGAATTTTGGGGAGCGGTCGACGTCCCCCTTTATCTTCGGGGAGCAGAGGGATTTGGGAAAGCTGCTGTATGAGGACCCCCCTACACCACCGAAGATGTTCATTCCCCTGTGGACATCCGGTGAGTGAGCTCGTGCCCGTGAAAAGGGCCCTGGACAGTCTGTGGGAACCTTTCCACTGGCCGGGGGCGGGCTGGGAGGAAGGTCATCTAAAAGTGACCTCTTCTTCAAGCTCGGGCATCAGCATTGAGCAGGGAGCCCCCGAGGTGGGAAATTCAAAGGGTCTTAGCCGAAAATTCTTGTTCCAAGCAAGTTTATCTCTAAAGCTAACATATGTTGAATACACCTGTGTAATAAGCCTGAGTAGGATGAAAACTTCTTAATGAAGATGTTTTGAGGTTTTGGCTCAGGCTGGTGGTCAAAGCCAATGTTAAAATATTTTCTACTTGGGGGCGAGATTGATAGGACAGCAGGTAGGACATTGATCTTGCACACAGCCGACCTGGGTTTGATCCCCAGCATCCCACATGGACCCCTGAGCACTGCCAGGAGTAATCCTGAGTGCAGAGGAGTAACCCCCAAGTATTGCCGGTTGTGGCTCAAAAACAAAAGAGTTTTTTTTTTTTCAATCCCCACAGAGTGGAAAACTTAGACTGTAAGTCAGTTTCGTGAGTGACATTGCTGACTCCTCCTAGAATAAGAAGAGTTTCAGCTAATTTTTCATTTCCCAAGGAAGGTTAATTCTGGGACTCCTAAAAGTCACATTCCAAGACATGCTTGTGTTGGTGGGTGGGGATGTGGGCTTATTCAACAAGGAGAAAGCCAGTAATTCCTGATTAAAAGTGATGGTCTAATCAAGATAAAAAATAACTTGGCAATCTGCAGAGCGCTAATCAGAAATTCCTGCATTCTAGATGTGTTGGAGTCTCCAAGCCTGTCGTCGGAGCTGGTGGTTGAATTGCCGTCACCTGTTAGCTATGACTCAGATTCTTCGATTTCTTAGTGCCTCATAGTTAGTGTGTTTTTGTATGAATAAAGCTATTCGTTTAACAGACTGTTCTAATCATTGTGGTCCGTGGTCTTTGAGATTTGCTTAAAACAGTACGAAAACCAGTGGGAGTATTTAGTGAAAGAGTGTCTGGAATATGATAATGGACATTTTTCTAATTTGTAAAAACTTGCCTTAAAACCCTTTGGAGTGTTTTAACGGCTTATTTTAGACACTGCCACTGTTTCTTTTGAAACATAAACCTCTCGATGTGTATTTGATTGCCTTTTTTGGCCATTAACTAGTGATATTTATTAGGTCTCTTAATTAGGGGAGCCACTTTCAGCTCATTAAGTGCCTATTGCTAGGCATTCTTTATTGCTGATTCTGTTAAGTTTCTAATGACCTTAATATTCTGTATTCAGTAATCAGAACCTGAATTCAGTAATCAGAACTTGAAAGATTCTAAATCTCCTGAGTTCACCTTCTTGGAATCTTCAATTAGATTCTCTGAAAAGCACAGCAAGAAAAATTACTGATAGTAAGAATCTCTCTCCACCTAGAGGAAAACTCTCATTTTGTTGAAACCTGTATGGTTAATTGTGTTAAATATTTTATGAGTGTTATTGTTACATGCTTAAGGTCCCATTATTCAGATGAGGACAGGGACAGGATCAAGAATGTATTGATATGTGAAAGATAGGAAGAGTTATCAGACTATAGAACTGGTGTTTCAAAGTTAATATTTAAGACACTCTCAGTGACTTTCTTTTTTGGATCATACCCGGCGATGCACAGGGGTTACTCCTGGCTCATGCACTCAGGAATTTACTTCTGGCGGTGCTTGGAGGACCATATGGGGTGCTGGGAATCGAACCCGGGTCACCCGTGTGCAAGGCAAATGCCCTACCCACTGTGCTATCGCTCCAGCCCCATCTCAGTGACTTTCAAGTATATAAAATTATAATGACTAGTGTGCGGTAGCTATAAACTCTTCATCTTATAATTTAGTATGTACCATTTCCCCACTCTGTCACTGGTCACTACAGTTTCCACTCGAAGGCGAAGGGGCTTTTTAGATTCCACATGTCAGGGATACAGTATTTGACTTATTTCAGTCAGCACAATGCCACGAAATGTTAACACAAGGTTATCACAATATAAGCCACATCTCTCAGCTATTTTGGCATAGATATATTGAATTGCCGTTAAATTCCTAATACCATCCATTAATTTTTTTTTATTATAGACGTTAGACTGTAGCATGTTGCAGCATTTGACACTTGTGTCCTGTGTACACCACATACATCCTAGATTCTTGTACTGTGAGCCATGCCCCCTATGAAGTCGTGTGTGTGTGTGTGTGTGTGTGTGTGTGTGTGTGTGACCCCACGCAGAGGGGGAGTGCTGGGGTTGTGGAAAAAATGTTTTAAAGTATCTTATCAGCTGGGGTTGGAGCGATAGCACAGCGGGGAGGGTGTTTGCCCTGCACGTGGCCGAACCAAGTTCAATTCCCAGCATCCCATATGGTCCCTCCCCTGAGCACCGCCAGGAGTATTTCCTGAGTGCAGAGCCAGGAGTAACCCTGGAGCATCGCTGGATGTGACCCCAAAAAAGCAATAAAGTATATTATCAGCAAATGTTTGATTTGTATACCTATCTTATGTGGACTGCCGAAAAATTTATTGGGGGTGGGAGAGGGTGAAAGAAGCACGGGAAAATTGCATTCATGTTCTTCCCCAAAGTCTGCTTCTTCTACACACCACTATACAAACTTTTATCTGTTTCACCTGGTCCCAAGAGGTTTTTCTGGAACCTCCCATCCCCCATGTGTTTTGTGTAAAGACTGTTGTTATTATTATTTTTTTTGGGGGGGGAGGGCCAGAAAGATAGCTCAGCAGAGGCCCTCCCCTGATTCTAGACCGGGCACCCACAGGGTAGCACCCCCCCACCCCCACCCCCTCAGCACCACCAGGAGTGATCCCTGAGCGCCAGTGGTGGTGACCCAGACTTTTTTTTTTTAATTGTATTTTTGAGTCACACTGGCAGTGTTCAGGGCTTACTCCAGCTTCAGTGCTCAGAGGGACTTAGGGATCACCCCTGGGGGTGCCGGAGGAAGGGTACGCAGCGCGGGAGGGAGAACCGGACGCTAGGCGAGCACCTGGCTGGCAACCCTCTAGACCAAGAATTTTCTGCGGGGGGACATCAGAATTGTCAGCGGTGCGAGGGGTGAGGATGCAGAGCTGCCCCGAGTGCCCGCGACCCCCGGGGCTGGCTGGGGTTGGGGGGGAAGACTTTGAGAAAGCACGGGGGGGGGGGGGCCTTTGGGGGTGAGAAGCGAGACTTCCCTGGGGCTCCTGAGCGTGCACCTGCAGACCTGCGCACCTGCGCGCTATAGCGCCGCGCAGAGCCTGGGACAGGCCCAGGGACAGGCCTCGGTGGGTTCCCGGGTGCCCCACGTGTGTGCCACGTGTGCAAAGAGCCTGAGACATGCCCCCGGACAGGCCCCGGACAGGCCCCGGGACAGGCCCCCGGTGGTGCCCGTGCACCAGGCCGCTGACTCGGCCCTCCGGCCTGGCTAGAGCCCTGGGTCCGGAGCTCCCCGTGTCCGCAACTGGGTACCGCCCCGACAGGGTGCTCCTTCCTTTGGACAACCCAGCCACCTGGTGACCGTTTTCCTGGGGCACACGCCGTGATCCCCGGTCCCGGCTTCTAGAACCTGCTTCGGAATCCCGCTGCGCCCAGGGCTCTGGGCCTCAGAACTGTCCGGCGAGGAGAGCACTTGCCTGGCACGCGGCCAACCAGGGTTGGACCCCGGGCTTCCCGTATGGTCCCCCCGCATCCCGTATGGTCCTCCCCCGCTCCCGAGCACAGAGGCAGGAGTCAGCCCTGACCACCAATGGGTGCAACTATTTAAAAAAAACCGTCTACGCATGCGCGCGTGCGCCCCTGGCACTGGCCTTGGGGGTTTAGGACAAGGGACGCCTGGAAACAGGGGGTCGCCCCGTGCCTGCAAGCTGAGCGGGTCCACCCCTGCCAGTCCTTACTGGACGTTCCTGTGAACCTGGGGACATGTGTCTCTCGTGGACTGATTGATGGTCCCGGAGTAGAATGACGAGCACAGCAGCTGGGACCCCCATCCACAGGTGAGTCCTTGGGGGTCCCGTTGCCATTGGGTAGTTTGGGGCTGGCGTGTGCCTCACTCACCCCGGTTCCTCTGTCCAGATCTCCCCAGTGTTTGCGGTGGTGGGGACTGGGCCCCCCTGAGCTCCTCCTGGATGCCCATGTACAATAGCTCCACCCCGGACATGCCTTGGTCCCTAAACCCTGCTGGGACAGTCTCCTGCCTTCCTCTGCGGCTGCCACTCTGCCGACCACTGCTCCAGGTGCTGAGGACACAGTGCTGAAGGAAACTGGGAAAGCCTCATCCGAGCTAGGAGAACCAGGCTAACTGACAGAACACTAAGTTACACCACATGCCGAAGAACGCTGGGGTGGGGGATGGGGGGGCGGAAATAAAGTTAGGAAGTGTTTTGTGTGTCAGTAGCTGGGTGGAGAGCTCCTTTGACAGCAGAGGTGATAGGGCATCTCATTGAGGAGGTACTTCATGAAGACAAAAATTGAAGGCGCTGAGAGAGAAGCTCTGATGACCCCCAAGGCTAGAAGAGAAGGTGCAAAGGTCCTGGGGTAGGAATGGACCTGGTGTGTTTGAGAAATTGCAGAAAGGGCTGGCTGGAGGGTAGTGATAGAGCTCTGGGAGGCATGCCACAGGGGTCTCTAGGGTGATACTATCGGGAGCGTGGTGGTGGTGGTTTGAATTTTAAGTGTCCTGGCTGTATGTGGCAAAAGATGGTTGGGGAGAGCTGGTGAGATAGTACAAAGGGTAAGACACTTGCTTTGCAGCCAGCCCACTGGCACCTGCATAGTCCCCTGAGCATCACCAGGAGACGTCCCTGAGCCCAGAGCCAGGACTAAGCCTTGAGCACCCAGGTAGTGCTGAGCAGGGAGGTGGGAGAGTGGGCTGTTAGAAAGTCCGATTATGGGAGCGGTAGTACAGCGGGTAGGGCGTCTGCCTTGCAAGTGGCCGACTCAGGTTTGATCCCCAACATCCCATATGGCCCCCCCCCCAGCACTCCCAGGAGTAATTCCTGAGTGCAGAGTAACCCCTGAGTATCTCTGGGTGTGACGCAAAAAAAAGGAAAAAAAAAAGAAAAAAAATCTGATTATGGGGAGGGCTGGAGAGATAGCACAGTGGGTAGAGCGTTTGCCTTGCATGAGGCCGACTCAACTGACCCATTTCAGTTCCTCCACCCCTCTCAGAGAGCCCGGCAAGCTACCGAGAGTATCTCGCTTGTACGGCAAAGCCTGGCAAGCTCCCCGTGATGTATTCGATGTGCCAAACACAGTAACAACAAGTCTCACAATGGAGACATTACTGGGCCCGCTCAAGCAAATCGATGAACAATGGGAGGATAGTGACAGTGACAGGAGAGATCCAAGGTTTAGGTGGAGATCATGTTTGGGGGATAGTGGCAGGAGAGAGACACTCGGAGAGCAAGCTTCTTAGCCAGGGATCGAGACGGACAGAAAGTTTCTCTAGGAGAGACAGGCAGTGTGGTCTAGAAGCAGCAGCAGGGTTCTGTTGGGGGGTGGTGTGCTGGAGCAGGGACACCCCCCCTTCACCCATTCTGATGGGAGACCAGGGGGAGGGATGGTGCCAGGGAGGGGGAGGCCACGGAAGCTCAGGTTCTCTCTAGGTGTGAAATATTAAGAGTCCGATGGTCCTGCTATTAGTGACTTATAATGAAACCTAAATGGTGCCACTTCTCTCATTGCTTGGTTTCTTGGTCGAGAGGACCTTGAGCAGGAGTTTTCCAGGAGTTCTTTTCCACCTGCAAATGAACCAGGGATTCATAGCTTCAAGGATAGCTGGAGGGATCTGTGGAAAAAGATAAAGATTTATATTCTTTTATTATTATTATTATTATTATTATTATTATTTGCTTTTTTGGCTCACACCCAACAATGCTCTGCAATCAGGAATTACTCCTGGAGGTGCTTGGGGGG